ACCCCCCCCCCACACACACACACACTCACACACATTTTTTACGCTTTTGATTTTATAGCGTGAGTAGTCGGAGGGCGCCACTGATGTCATACTTTTTCACTTTTTTACTTTTGCTTCTGTGTGTCTGTCTTGCTCTTTTCCATCGCTAAATGGCCGTTATTCTCTCTTCTCATAATCATTATTTTGAAAGGACAACATTATTTTTTTGTGTACCACTTGTTTAAAAAAATTGCAACAAAGAGTTATTTGCGGGTGGTTGGCGGGTGCTCTGGTGTGGTCTGCTTTTTCTTTCCTATCAAACATCTATCGTCCTTATCTACCCTTCTTCTTTTTTATGTTTGTTACTCTCTTGTAACACCTCTAATCTTCTGGCGCTCATTTGACCTTATGCAGTTGCGAGCGCCGTAAAACCTCTACTAAAACAAAACGAGTTATTTGATATATATTATTATAGTTTGCTTCAACTTCAGAATGTTCCTCAAGTGATGCCGACGCAAAGGTACCCGACCCCCTCAGGTTGTTCTGGCCCCCTAGGCTTATTATTGGCCTAATCTGCTTACCCCAATTTACATAATCTTATTGCGTCCATAACTATGTAAACCTAAACTCAGACCCAAACGATAAATCTAATATATTATGTCTGCCTGTCTGACTTATAGAGGGCTGATGGAAGCTGTCCTGCTCGAGTTTTATTTTGCTGTGGTCTTCGGTCTGTTGTGTCCTAGCTTTTGTTGCAATAGGATGTTGCCCGCAGAAATACCGAGATACCCGACAAAGACTCTTTACACGCTGGAATCATGACTGCTTCTGCGTGCGACAGCCATGCATTTAATTGCTGAACCACAGACTCCGGTTAGCTGTTGTATTTTCTTTCTTGAACTGACATGGTAAAATGATCAACAGTTAAGTAGATATTGACAAAACTTTTTTTTGGAATCAGGATCCCCCAAACATTTGTCTTTTGCCCGCAGTTGGACTACATAATTTTCTGGTGGGTCATATATGTCCCTCTGTTCTTTCAGAATGTGTCTTTTTTTTACCAAAAAAACATTTGATTGAGACTGACTGTTGTGATTCTTGAGATCTAGGCTGACATAGTCGGAAGAAAGTTGTTCAAATTGATTTTGTTTTCAACCAGTTTGTTATGCTAAGAAATATAGTTTCACGTATCCAGTGGTTTGAAGCTGAAAAATCCCAAGTTCGTTAATTAACGTAGTTTTCGTTGCTTTTAAAACATCTATCTAACAATCCCCACAGTGTCGCCCCATGTTGCAGGGGAAGTCAGGACTGTCACCGAGAGCGAAATGCCAGGAGCCACTAGCCTAATTAGATACATGATATCATTTCTGGTCAGGAAGACTCCGTGCCATTCTTTCGCAAAAAATCTTACGACAATTTTGATTGAACAACAACTTTTGTCGGAAACCACTGTTGTAATTATATATACAGGGCAGCACCATTGTCTCAGAAATTTGAATTCTTTTCCCTAAGTGTTCCCTGGTAATTTGACGATGGGATAGCGCTGATGCCAGCCCCAGGGTCAGTGCTCTGGGTTAATTGGAAGACAACATGACCTAGGTCATCGAATCATTGTCAGCAGACGACTTGAAACCAGAAACTTACAATTAAGACCTTTGTCCTGTTGTGTTGTAGTTAAATGTTTTTGTCGTTTTTTTCATGATTTTTATCTGTGTATCCCCCCCACCCCCCTTTGCCGCCCACTTT